AGAGGAATATACGTATAGTGGCACTGAGTCATCTCTATCTAATGCTAAAGATGTTGGACAATGGTTAGGATGCAGTACGACACAGACTTTCAACTTCCATCCTAATGTCAGACCTGTACCATTAGAACTACATATACAGGTAAGTTAACGTTATTAAGTAAATTAGATATAATACACCCAAAAATATAGCACCAGAACCATGATGCACTAATTTAGCAATCAACACAGTCTTTTACTCAGTTTGGCCGGTTTATGTTTTTGAACATAAAGTTTCTATGGCAACCTGGATGCATGCACAAATCAATAGTATTCAGTGAATTGGCTGAATTGGAAAAGTGCAAAATGAAAGATGTATAATAAAGTACAAAAACAAGTGTCATCAGAACCACATAATTTAGTTTTGTTAGCCTTAAGACTATATAATTTGAAAAGTAATCCCTTCAGGATGTAATAACGCATTCTTGTTTTTTTATTTTTAGGGCTTCAACATTACCCATAATGCATCACGATTAATTGCTATGGTGAAGCCAACTTACAACGCCATTTTAAAACATTCTCCAAAGAAGCCAGTCATTGTGTTTGTCCCATCAAGAAAACAGACCAGACTCACAGCAATTGATCTTTTGACGTATTGTTCTGCCGATGAGCAGGAAAGTCGGTTTCTTCATTGCCACAAAGAAGATCTGGAAGCTCATCTTAGTAGGGTATCGGATGAGGTAGGTCATCTGATGCAAATATACATTTTCTGTGTAAATTATTAGCTACCCAGTTTTCTCCTTAGCCTTTTCAAGCATTGCATTTTTTTTTTGCTGTGGCCGCGTTACTTTTTTTTGCTTGTTGTGCTTCGAAGTGTGTCTTCTATGTGAGGTGCAATTATACAACTCTAAAGTTGTGTCAATAATGTTCAAGTAAATTGAAGTGCACACACATGTTCAAAACAACATTGTAATTATTCTAAAAAACACTCAAATTAATCTAATTTCTGACACTGCATTTCATGGAGTTGTTGTCAATTTCTGGGCTCTACAGCTGATAATTTGGGTCTCAGAATAGCATCAGAAAGAGATATATATATAAATAATACTTAAAGGGTATTGGTATGGAAACCTATAACAAACACAAAATGGTGTCATGACCTCTACTCTTAAAGAATTCCTGCTCAGGATTCATCAATCTTTTTCCAAGGATTGACTGAACCAGGAGTGGGCCTACTTTTTTGTGTTTGACGTTTCCATGGTTATTTATCAAATTTGCTGAATTTTTGCTTAAAAACTATGTAATATAGCATATTTGTAAAAAGAAAACAAAGCATGATCACTTGGATTGAGTTGTAAAATGTTGCCTGTGGCAGAGACTGATTCTGAACCCTCAACCATGCCATCAGTGGCAGAAATCCATCAAGGCTTGGAGAATGTGAATCATTGTGTAATAACTATGAACTAAATGGGAGGCGGTGAAAGACGTGGCTACTATTATTGAATTCTTTGAGCCCTAAAGTAAGCTTCAGACACCATCCACAAAATACCGCATTCTGCCGTAAATTCATACTCTCTGAGTGCATACTTTGACGTATCCTCATAATAATCTTATTATTGTACATCTTTTCCTTCGAAGGATACATCATGGGAATGCTGAAATCCAAAAAACTTAGAACAGAAACGGCGAACTTCTTTTTGTGGAGTCCGGTTAAACCCTGATTCCAGCTATGTTTGTTAGCCCCCGCCAGATCTGCGATCCGGGCGGGAGGTATTAATTTCGATCGTGTCTGTGCAAATGTGTGTGCACTTTTTCATGTTAGCAGCTTTTTCTCACACATGTGTGATCCAATTCAGTTCAGAGTTGGTACAGAGACAGGAATTGATGGTGCTATTGTGCGCATCAAGTTATTTTTTCGATTCTTCAAAGTTTCACTGTGTTTTTCCTTGATTTTTAACATTTTTCCTTCAAAATCCGACTTTTCCCGAAATTACCCGAGTTTAATCCGAGTTTTGATGACGCTTATGCAGTTCTCGTCTCAGTGGAAATCAGTCATTTTTGTGAGGATATTGTATCCCGGAATTGTATCTTTATTTGTGCAACGCTTATATGGACAAAATTGTGTCTCGTCAATTTCAAAGGTAAGA